CACTACAAAGAAAAAAATTATAGGTCAATATCCCTGATGAACATTGATGCTAAAATCCTCAAAAAATATTGACACACTAGATCCAACAATACATTAAAAATGTCATACAAAATGATCAAGTGTGGCTTTTTCTGTGGATGCCAGATTTGTACAATTTCTGCAAATTAATAAATCTATACACTGCATAAAATTAAGGATAAAAAACATATGTTCATATCAATAGATAAATAAAAATAATTTTATAAAATCCAGCACCCTTTTATAATAATACTCTCACCAAAGTGGAAATAGAGAGAACATTTCTCAACATAATAAAGGCTATCTATGGCAAAACAGCATCCAACATCATTCTCAATTAGCCAATAGTAAAAGTGTTTCACTTAAGATTGGGGACAAGGCAGGGATGTCGGGTTTCACCCTTCACTGAAGTTCTAGCCATAGAAATCAGACAAGAAGAAAAAATAAAAGACATCCAAATTGGAAAAGAGGAAGTAAAACTGTCATTATTTGCAGATGACATGCTGATATATAGATAGAACCCAAAAGTTTCCATTAAAATGATACTAGAACTGATAAATTAATTCAGTAAAGTGAAAAGATATTATATATATTCATTAATCAGTTGGAATTCTATGCACCAATAATAAACTCTCAGGAAGGGATATTTGAAAACAACACTATTGACATTTTGATAACAAATAAAACACCCAGGAATAAATTTAACCAAAGATGAAAAAATAACTATACATGGAAAATTATGAGATGCTGAAGAAGGAAATTGAAGAAGACACAAGTTTGTGGAAGCATATATTATGTTCACGGATAGGAATAATTAACATAATTAAAATGTCCATACTAAATGCAACTTATAGATTTAATGCAATTCCTACTAAGATACTAATGACATATTTCATGTCACTAAAACAAATAACCCTAATATTTATATATAACTACAAAAGACCCCGAATAGCTATAGTTATCTTGAAAAAGACAAGCAAATTTGGATGATCATGCTACCTGATATCAAACTAAACAGCAAGGTCATACTCATTAAAACAGCATGGTCATTAAAATATTAATAAAAATCAATAAAAAAGAATCAGGAACCTAGAGATGAACCTACACTCTTCTTTAAACACACACACACACACACACACACACACACACACACAAACAACAACAAAAAAACCAACCTTTTTTCTTTATTTAAACCAAGCAATTTACTTGGTTGCTTTCGAACCTACACTCTTATGATCAATTAATATTTGACAAAGGAGGTAAAAACATAAAGTGAATTACAGATAGTCCATTCAATTAATGGTGTTGAGAATATTGGACATATGGGTACAACAATGAAAGGCTATCTTCTTATACCATACTCAAGAATAAACTCAAAATCAATTAAAGACTTAAATGTTAGACTCAAACCATAAAAATCCTAGAAGAAAACATATACATTTATGCCTCTCTGTTACAGGATTCCAGATGGTCTTGGAGTTGTTTTCTGAAAATATACAAACATATTCTATACCAAAAGTTAATAAAGGGATATTTTCTATAAATTTGGGATCCTTCCCCCCCCCCAAAATGATTTTCCTCTGGCTTGTTTTGACACCATGTGTGTATTTTCATGGGTATCTTTCTGTTTGTGTTTCGAATGAAGGTTAATTTTCTAAAGTACAAATTTTTTAGATGTAAATTATTCGCAGGATATTTTTCCTTACATGATATTCTTCCACTGTCACCCCCTTTTTTACCATGTGTGTATTAGTGGAATTACAATGGTATTTCTTAGATCACAAGATCTCATACATCTAGAGTAAATGATGAACAACATAGACTGATGAACAAAAACAGACTCAGAGGAAGAGAAGCACCGAACAGACTTTCAAACCTCAGAGGGAAAGTAGGAGAGGGGAGGGGTAAAGGGAAACAGATCAACCAAAGGACTTGTGTGCATGTATATGGGCCTGGCCAGTGGCCATGGACAACGGGGGGGGGGGGGGTGAGGGCATACGTACGGAGGCGTTTAGGATGCAATTGGGGGGATGAGGACAATTGTGTGATACCATAATCAATAAGAAAAATGGGGGGAAAAACAAAAACAAAACATATGCATTTAAATCTAGGACTTTTTTCATAGCTATATATCTCCTCAGGCTAAGGAAATATATATAGAGGATATATATGTATATATGTATATATATATATATCCTGAGGCTAAGGAAACACACACAAAAATAAATGGGAATACATGAAACTAAAAAGTTTTTACAGAGCAAAGGAAACATTCAGCAAAATGAAAAAAAAGAAAAAGAAAAAAAAAACACCACAATCCATTGAATGAGAGAAGATATTTGCCAATGACACATCTCATAAGGGTTTAATGTCTAAGTTTTTAAAGATACTTATAAAACTGAACACCAAAAAAACAACAATAATCCAATTATAAAATGGGCAAAAGCTCTGAATAGAACCTTCTCCAAAAATGACATACAGATGACCAATAGACATATGAAAGTATCTTCAGTATTGCTAATCATCCAAAAAGTGCAAATTCTAACCACAATGAGATCTCAACCCAAAACTGTCGAAATGGCTGCCATCAATAAATCAACAAATAAGTGCTGTTGAGAGCATGGAAAAAATGGAAACTTCATGCATTATTGGTTGGAATGCAGATTTATGTAGCCACTGTGAAGAACTGTATGGAATTTTCTCAAAAATTAAAAATAGAGCTGCTTTATTATCCAGGGACTATATTTCTGGGAATATATCTGAAGAAATATGAAACATTAATTAAAAAGACTCTACATACCCCTATGTTCATTGCAGCATTATATACAATTGCCAATATTTGGATGCAGCCAAAGTGCTGATCAGTAGATGAGTGGATAAAAAAAGCTGTGGTACATATACACAATGGAATACTACTTGGCCATAAAAAATAAAGGAAATCTCACCATTGTGTCAGCATGGATGGAACTGGAGAGTATTATACTAAGTGAAGTATGCTAGTCAGAGAAAGACAAATACCATACAATTTCACTCATATGTGGAATTTAATGAAAAACTTGAACTAACAAACAAAATGGAAACAGACTCATAGATACAGAGAACAGATTAACACCTGTCAAACAAAAGGGATAGTTGGGCTAGGTAGTAAAGGTAAAGGGATGAAGGAAAAAAAAACCCCACAAAACTGATAGACAGCAGTGTTAATTTCCATACGGAAACTGGACTTGAGGAATAGGAGAAGGTAAAGGGGGTATAAATGGTGATGGAAGAAGACTTGACTTGTGGTAGTGAACATACAATACAATGTACAGATACTTTATTATAGAACTAGGGGCTAAGTGCAAGAATTCATGCACCTTGAAAGGAACTGTGGGTCATGAGGCTGCAGTGGGCATAGGGGTGGGTCTTGGCCCATTCTCTGTGCCCATGCCTGGCCCCTCCCACTGTGTCCCCTGGTCCCCTGTCTGCTGGCAATCCTGCTCCTGCCATCGCCACTCCCACACGCTGATGGCACCAGTCCTACTCACACCCACTGATGGTGTGGAGCCATTGGAGCTGGCACCAACAATAGGTGCAAGTGGGGCCATTGCCAGTAGTGGTTGCAAGAGGAGGCTGCCAGCCCTGATGATCCCTCAGGAGCAGGGGGATGTGGAAAAGCCATGAGGGGCAATTGGAGCCAGCAGCCACCACTCACACTTGCTGATGGTGCTGGCAGTGAATGCGAGTGGAAGCTCTGGTGCTAGCAGCAGGTGCAAGCAGGGCAGGTGTGAGCACCCTGCAGGACTATTGCAAATGGAAGCAAAGAATTTTCAGTAACCACCAGAGGCTTTCCCTGATGACAACAACTGGTGTCCTGCCTTTGTCTGACACCCCTGCTTACCTGCTCCACCATCCCGCCACAATTGATGCCTGCTATGTTCTGCATGAGCCACCTGGTGGTCAGAACACGTTATAGTGACTGGTTGTTCAGTAGTTCCATTGTTGGATTGTTCCACCATTTGATCTATTTGAATATTAGGGTTTTATATATATAGACTAGATGCCAACTGCATAAAATTAGTTCACTTGGGGGGTCCTCAGCCTGGCCTGGGCCCTCTCACAGTCTGGGAGCCCTCAGGATCTCCTGTAGAGCAGGCCTAAGCCATCAGTTGGACATCCTTAGCACTGCCATGGAGGTGAGAGAGGCTTCTGCCACTGCCACTGGGCTTGCCAGTCATGAGCCTGGCATCTAGATGAGCGGTGCTCCCCCTGTGGGAGTGCACTGACCACCAGTGGGAAACTCCTGCATTGAGCGTCTATCCCTTGGTGGTTAGTGTGTGTCATAGTGACCAGTCATTACGCCACTTGGTGGATTTGCATATTAGCCTTTTATGCCTGCAGGATTGTGCCAAAACCGACTTTCCAACATCCCTTGAGGGGTCTCAGATTGCAATAGGTCACAGGTCAGGCCGAGGGACCCCACCAGTGCATGATCAAGGCCAGGGAGGGTCACAGGAGATTGGCCAGCGGGGAAGGGGCCATGAGATGGCTCCAGGGCATGTCTGGCCTATCTTGCTCAGTCCCGATCAGATGGACCCCAGCAGCAAGCTAACCTACCAGTTGGAGCATATGTCCCCTGGAGGTCATAGCTACTGGTCAACTGGTCAACTATCTGCCCCCTGTGGTCAGTGTACATCATAGTGAGCAGTTGAGTGGCCTTAGCATATCATTAGCATATTATGCTTTGATTGGTTGAATTGAAGACCAGACACTTAGTCTTTTATTATATAGGATTATATCACTGAAAACTATACAATTTTTAAGCAGTATCATTCCAATAAAATTAATTAAAAATAAATAAAATGAAGAGAGAGCCAAAAGGTTCAGAGTGGGCCAGTGTCATGTACCTATGACATGAGTCCATAATGCACCAAAATAAACTTTATTCCAGGAACCTGGGTGTAGGTGGGCTGAGTCCGACAAAATGGAGTCAGCAAAGATAGCAGGGAGAGAGAGGTTTTTATTCATTTTTGCTGGTTGTAAGCTACTCTAATGATGTAAGGGTCTGGTTCGTCCTTGGTTCCTCCCAGCGTCAGATGGCTAGTGGTTATCTGTGCTATGCAGTGCTCAAGGCTGCAAGATTTCTGCAAGATATCTTTTAAGCACAATAAGTTTTTCTCTGCCCCATTTTATTCTCTGTAACTTTTCATTCCTTCTTAATGGGTGTATATAAAGGAAAAGAAGGGGAATGGGTCATCGTTCTCTATACTGCTTCCTGCATGGGAGGGGCTGTGTTGAATATCTAAAGAGTAAATTCAGATTATTTCCTGGGATATAGACCTATAGGGTCCCTTTACCTGGGTAAGGACAAATTGTGTTAATGTCTTAACTAGAACTTGTAATATTGTTTGTTTAAACTTGGCAAATAATTTTAAAATGCAGGGCCTGAGGAGTAGGAGTAGGATAAATAGCGTTAGGGGGCCTGTCAGGGGTAAAAGCCAGGATAATTTGGGCAGAGCTGCTTATAGGCTAGACCATATGGACTGCTCTATGGTGTCTTGACTGATCTCCTTGAGCCATTGAATATTCTGTAGACTGTGTTTTGTGTTTTTTGTTTTGTTTTTTTTCTTCTTTATTTTACCTGTAGAGTTTAGATAAAAACAATAGGAGGTGTTAGCAAGTAAATAAAATCTTCCCTCTTTGGCTAAAAGATACTCTAGGGCGAGTGAGGAGATCATTTTAGGGACATAAGAGATCAGCAAGATTCAGAAGCACTATGAAGGTAAACAAATAGATGTGATCTGGAGAGAAATTCCATAAATTGCCCTGGAGCCAAAGGTCTGTAAAGAGTTCAAAAATAAATTGCACTGTTTGGATGGGATAGTCTGCTCCAAGTGGGGAAATGTTGTCACTAACAATCTGCAGGAATGTGAAAGTCAATTTATTAGTCATTTGGTTGATATGTGAGAGGGACTATTTTTCCAGGAAGGCTAATAGGAGGGTAGGTTATTCTGAGGGCGAGTTTTTTGTTTATTTGTTCGTTTGTTTTCTTCAGTTTTGCCCCTTGCTAGGCATCTGGAACTTTCTGCTCTGGTGAGTTTTTACACTTGTTTCTGGTCTATTGTTCTTACTCTGGGGGTCAGGGATGATGAGGCCTGGGCACAAAAGGAGGTTTTGGTGGTGTTTGGGGATTGTATTTCCTGAGTGTAAGTAGCACTTGTAACCTGGTGGAGACAAACTCTTTTTATATATTTTAGTATTATTGGGGTAAAAGTTAGAACAATAAGAGTTATGGTTTGGTGCAAGAAAAGAGACATTAGTTTTGAGGGTTGTAGTCCAATATACCAAAATGAGGTTTATTATCTTAGTTTAATTTGTCCTTGGTTAAGGGAGATAGGATTTACTAGATGGCTGTAGACTCCTGTTTTACTATCTCAGTTTCCCTATTCCGCTTGTTCTGGCTTACTGGCCTGTGTCATTTATATAACTTCCTTTTAACATTTCTCCCCATAAATCTTCTATTACTTTCACAAACCTTCTTACAATTTTCATAAACACTCTTACAACTTTAACTCTTTCTTTTTTCTTTAAAAATGCATTTCCATGCCTTATGTCCTTTATTATTAAAATCATACAATATTTAAACCTTAATTTTCCTTAATGATAATTAAAAAGTAAACAGCCAGCATTTCTTAGATTGACATTTATGAATACTTTCATTTTTAAAAAATATACCTTTAATACAGTATAAGACATTATATTAACAGTTCCAAATCTATTTTATAGATTTTCTGTAACAAAACGTAAAATCAGGTGAACTTAAAATGTGTTGAAATATTTAGATGCTTACCATTTAATATAGTAATGTTTTAAAGCTTTAAGTTGCCAAAGACTTTGGGAAATTATGTATAGGGATATGAGGTTGGAGAAAAGGTGGAGGAAGAGGAGGAGGGAGTAGGCCTAGCAGTCTGTTCCCAGGTCTCTAGCTGCTTGGATTTAAAACTGCCACATTTTTTTTCATTAGAGATAATATGCTAAGGTTTGGGTGATAATGAGTTCAGTTTCTGCTAGTAGCCAGACTGTTAAGTAAGCATTTGTAGTTTTGCAGTCAAGAAAGTTGTTGTTTGGGAAGGGGTATGTGTGTATGAGAAGGCGCTGAGGTCAGAGCAGTTTTCAGAGCATTAAAGGGCTGAGAATGCTGGCCTTGGGATCTGAAGGCTCAGTGAGGAGTCCCTTTGCCATGTTATATTATAGAGGAGCTTTGTGAGAAGACTGGAGTTGGGAACACAGAGGCAAGAGTACCTAGCAAGCCCGAGAAAGGAGTGTATTTCTTATTTAGAGGAGAGGACAGTGATGGATGAGATAAGGCGTTTACTGTCTAAGGAATGGTGTGATCGTGTGGGGTTGAGAGTGAAACTGATGTAGGTAACTGTCAATTAGGACAAGTGGGCTTTATGAGGGGATGTCTGTACCCTTTCAGTCGGGCAAGAAGAGTGGATAAGGGGGTATTTAGTAAGATACAATGTAAAGGTGAGGTGGCTTATTATTTTTTAAATATATTTTATTGATTTTTTACAGAGATGAAAGGAGAGGGTCAGAGAGTTAGAAACATCAATGAGAGAGAAACATCAATCAGCTGCCTCCTGCACACTCCCCACCGAGGATGTGCCCACAATCAAGATACATGCCCTTGACCAGAATTGAACCTGGGACCCTTCAGTCCACAGGCCAATGCTCTATCCACTGAGCCAAAACAGTTAGGGCATCGTTTTTTAGATGGCTTGTGACTGTGAGACTAATCTGTCAACTCACATAATAGAAACTGAGGATGGGACAAGGGTCCCAGTGGATTCAGAGAGGGCAGAATAAGTGGCCCCAGTGTCAAATAAAAAGAAGATGGGCTTACCTGCCACCACAGTCATTACCCAAGCCTCTGTCTTGGTGATGTAAGTCTGTGGGGCCTTGTCTGGGTCTGGGTAGCTTCAGTCTTCTGTGGTCAGTTCCAGGAGGTCTGGAAACTCTAAACCAGATCCAGAGGGCAGCCTTGCTGAGGTCCGACCTGAAGGGGGTAGACTACAGTCTGATATCCAGTGGCCTTTCCTCCTGCATCTTGGGCAGGACACAGGTTGGGGTCTTGGGTTTCGGAAGGATTTGGTCCGGTGTCCTCTATTGTATTTGAAGCATGGGCCTGGAGAAGGCTTAGCCCCTGACTTACCCTATTTTAGAGGACCAGCATTTCCTTTGGGATTCATGAGAGGGGGGTGGCTAGGAGCTGAAAGGCCTTTGTCTGGGGTTCAGCCTTGGCCTGATCTTGTCCTTGTTTTTGGATTTGGATCTCTTTTTCTCTCTTATTAAAGATCTTTAAGGTCATGTTTAAAAGGTCTCCTTGGGGGGTTGCTCCTTCTGGGCTTATAAGGTTAAGATTGTTGTATTTTCTTATGGCCTGCATAAAGTGGGAGAGGAAGACTGCTGGATTTTCATGTCTTTCCTGGGTGACCTTTGCTAATTTTTAAAAAAATTAACTGCTTTATGGGCTGCCTTTCTCAGACATTCTAGCAGGTAGATATCCAACCATACGGTCTCAAGACCTGCAGCCTGCCTGCCCTTCCTGATAGTTCCATTGATGGTCCCTGTTAGGGACAGCATCCACTGTGACTGGGAAGTCAGGAGTCTGCTGGTGAAGGGTATTCCTGTGGCCCTAGGCATGAAGCCAGATTTGGCGCCAGCAAATATCCTGAAGGGGGCACTTTAAGGCTAGTGCCATAGTGGGAGGAAGAAGAGAGCTGAAAATTGCTCCAGAGCGGGTGTGAGATGAGGTGGTGGTGGTGGGATCCACTGGGTAGGGTGGCAGACTCTCAGGCTGCTGACACTGAGGAGCTGAAAGGGGGACCAGGGATGGGCGACAGAGATGGTCTGTGAGGTCAAAAGTGATGAAGGAGCAGGAGGATTTGAGATCCTCTGGAGGTTCAGAGTGAATAAGAAAATTTTGTGAGGGAGAGCAGCTGTTACAGAGAGAAGGATGTGTCCTTGAATATAAAAAAAATGTCTGGATATACATGATCTCAGACCACTTGCCTTGCCTGAAGCAGAATTGTCAAGGTCAGACAGGATTTAGAAACCGAAAGTGCCATTTTACTGAGGCCAAAAGTCATGTGCCAATTCTAGGGTCTGAAGGCTTTTAAGTAGACAGCCTAGGGGTGTGGTGCAGGGAAAGGCTGAAGGCAAGTTTCCCTATGATGCCAGGCAGTGGCTTAAGGTCTGTTCTATGTGAAGTTATGGTGGAGAAATGTGTCCCCATCTCCCCCTAACATTCACAAGAAACAGACAGAGCCCTCCCTCCAAGACAGGTGTCCCAGTTAGGAGAGTGAGTGAGGGAACCTTATTCCCTGGGAGGGCTTGTCCTGATCAGCGCTGGATTTTTCTGGGGCCAGCTGAACAGTATCAGCCCCAAGCCTGGCTCCAAACCCAAAATTACAAGACAGTCCTGGACATGGGAAAACAGACTAAAGTCACTTACCTATGAATTTATGCCCAGTGTTAATGGAGAAGGAGGCAAGGCAAGGAGAGGTCTACTATCCAGTCACAGGCATGACCCACACCTGTCCAGAGGAAGGCTGTGGTGGAGGGTAAGGGGGGAGAGGGGGCAAGTAAGTGTCGCAAGTCCAGCAGAAGTTCAGCCCTGTGGGAGCATGGCTAGGGGGCTTCCCTGTACACAAGGGAAGCTCAGGAGCCAGACAATCACGGTCTCTCTGAATGCCAAGTGCCCAATTGCTGGAACCTTGTGATGGTTCTTACTCGACTGCTCACTAGACCTTCCCGGGTTTTCAGCACCAAATGACAGGTTCAGAGTGGGCCAGGGTTGCACACCTATGACATGAGGCTATAATGTATCAAGAGATTTTATTGCAGGCACCTGGGTGTAGGTGGGCTGAGTTTGACAAAATGGAGTCAGCAAAGAGAGCAGGGAGAGATAGGTTTTATTACGTTTTTGCTGACTGTAAGCTGCTCTACTGACATCAGGGTCCAGTCAGTCCTTGGTTCCTCCCAGCATCAATGGCTAGTGGTTATCTGGGCTATAAGTTGCTCGAGGGTGCAAGCTTTCTGCAAAATACCTGCTAAGCACAATAAGTTTTTCTCTGACCCATTTTATTCTCTTTAACCCTTTCAAGAACCAGATTTGAACAATGAGAAATTCGTGCTCTAAAAAGTAGCCACCTATTTTCTGGCAGTTTCTGAATTTAAGGAATAAAGTCTGTCCTATTGATCCCTCACCTCAACACGTTCAGGGTGGGATAAAGATGAGTTTACAGTTGTGAGTAAAGAAAACTCAGAGGTTATTCTTGTATTGTTATTTATTAATTATTATATTATATTCCATAGAAACTGTAAGCCTACTTTCCCCAATCTCTGTTTATGTGGGAGCTACCACTAGAGTTTCAGTCCTTGCTGTTCTTCCAATAGCCTGGTAATGTCTTGTCATGTCTTTTACTTTTGTTTATTCTTTTTGAGCTGCTATAATAAAATTGCCATAGATGGGGAGGCTTAATAAAAAACATTTATTTGTCACTGTTCTGGAGTCTGAGAAGTCCATATCAAAGTGCCAGAAGATATGTTGGTGTCTGGTGTGTGCTGTGGTCCTGATTCATAGTCAGTCCTTTTCTTGATGAATCTTCATGTGGCAGGAGAGATGAGAGAGCTCTTTGGAGTCTCTTTCATAACAGTGCTAATTTTATTTAGAATCTAATCACTTCCTCAAAATCTCATCTTGAATTACCATTGTTTGGGATTTATGATTTCAACATATGAAATTTGGAAAGACACAAATATCCACTACATAGCACCTAGCCTTGTTTAGAGTCTTTCTGGCTCTATTCCCAGAAGGAGCTTAATAAAACTAAGTATTCACGCTTGCGTCTGACTTGACACCGCAGTTCTCTATGTCTGCTGGCAGCGAAAACAAAAGCAATCTTAGGTACCAACAATGATTGTGGCATCTGGAAGAAAATTGGGTGCTTAACTTGGCTTATTTCCTTTTGTGACACAGTCACTATTTCATTTTTCAGTATTGACCTTAGCAAAAAACAAGACAAAAAAAAATATTTCGTGTCACCCGTATCATGTGATAGGCAGAGAAAACATTGTGCTCAGTTATTGTGGCAAAGGGCAACTGGCCATGCTCTGGTTAAAGAAAACTGACAGAAACAAAATACACATAAATGACATAGACTATGTATGGCAATCTGAACACACCCAATGTCTGTGTGGTTGCTGGTTCCAGTAAGGCAAGACTTTGGGGCTGCTATTATGGGCCTGAAATGTGAGAAAAATGGTCAAGGCCATAGCCCTTTAAATGCTCTTTTACTACAAGTAAAATTGAGGCTTTTCAGGAAAAGGGAGCCTCTTTGTCTGATCAATGCGGGTTTAACCTCCCTCCTTTGATCATAAAAAATATTTACTCTCTAATTTTAAACCCTTATTCTAATACTATACTTCTAACTCTTACCATATTGTGGAAGATAAAGGCTTCTCTATGCTTTTCTTTTTTATCAAGTCTTGGTTTGGTGACACCCAAACCCTTTCATCATGTATGTTTATGAACAGAACAGTTGGTTTTAACAGTGATTAACTCCTATGTCTGGCTCATTGACACTAAGACAATAGATGTGTGGGCAAAAAGCAGAGAAAACAATTTCTGTGGCTGAGACTAAACACTCCAACAGGCTCTATATTGCCCACATTAGAGGAGCAAAGATATTGCAAATCAGTCATTTCCTTCAAATGTACAAACTCACTAGAAGGTGAACTCCAGTGCAAATATGACTAAACTTTAAATGTATATTAACATGAAATTTATTAGCTTTTTCAGACATTGATGTATCTGATATCACTCAGAAGAGAAAAATATGATTTTTATCTGAGGTATTTATATAATCAATTGATTCATTGCCATTTCTGATAGCCAATTATCATTTATTGAAAATAAACTATTTAAAACTATTTTAGTCCTTGCTCCCAGTTGGTAAGAAAAAAAATCTAGAAATTTGACTATATTGTTTGCTATCAGTTTCATAAAATATGTCTAATGTTCTAGTTTATTTTTGTGAAAGTATTTTAACCTATCCCATCAACCCTTAAATAGGAGTGGGAAAACTTTTTTCAACCAAGGGCCATTTGGATATTTATAACATTATTTACTTAACATAATTCACTTAATTTAAATGTATGTTGCTATGAAAAAAACTCCTAGATTTATTGAATTTCGAGTCCAGCCAGAGGCTGCCTTGGTAGGGCCAAACCAAGTGATTTTGCAGGCCTTATATGGTCTGGGTACTGGATGTTCCTCACCCCTGATTTAAATGATTTTCTAAGGCAAAGTAAACACAGCTCTTCTCTTTCTCACAAATTTAACATAAATCTTAAATATCTAATTGATATAGTTAATACTATAAACAGGAGACATTGCTAAACATTTCTGAATTATTTTACTGATCAAATTGTGACATTTCTGCTTATGCTATATTTTAGTATCTGCCAACTCTATCTAAATTACAGTATCACAGAATTAACAAAGGATATTTAAAAGTAAAAAAAAATAAGCAAGTGTGAGTTCTTAGCAATAATCCAATATTTATATGTTGGTACGCACCAGTGTGTTTACTTTCTATTAAAATTTCATTACTAGATACTATGAAAGTAATTACAATGAAAGGGATTTTTATGGCAAGGCTTACTATCAACAGTACATTTTATTTATTTGTTTGTTTATTTATTTATTTGTTAGTTTATTTGTTTGCTTGTTTTAAAATATATTTTATTGATTTCTTATAGAAAGGAAGGAGAGGGATAGAGAGTCAGAAACATCGATTAGCTGCCTCCTGGTACATTCCCCACCGGGGATGTGCTTGCAACCAAGGTACATGCCCTTGACTGGAATCAAACCTGGGAACCTTCAGTCCGCAGGACGATGCTCTATCCACTGAGCCAAACCAGTTTTGGAAACGGTACATTTTTTTAAAATGGCTCCATTCCAATTTAAAGGTTAAAAAATAAAAAAATGTCCATCAATTGTTTTTTTCTAAAATTGATATGAAGAAACTTTGGATTGCCCATACATATTATTTTTGAATTTTAAAACTTAAAACTATTCACAGTTTTATTTTATTTTAACATTTTTATTGATTTTTTTACAGAAAGGAAGACAGAGGGATAGAGAGTTAGAAACATCGATGAGAGAGAATCATCGATCAGCTACCTCTTGCACACCCCCAAATGGGGATGTGCCCGCAACCAAGGTACATGCCCTTGACCGAAATCGAACCCGGGACCTTTCAGTCCACAGGCTGACGCTCTATCCACGGAGCCAAACCGGTTTTGGCCTATTCACAGTTTTAGTTAATTCAGTCCTATAATCAAATTCTGTTTTTCCTGATTTTTTTCTTGCCAATATTTATATAAATTCAGATACACCATAGGGTTTTAGTAATTTCATCCAGTTCAAAGGGATGGTGTGAAAGTTTATTATCAGAGATATGTACCTTACAATAAATCAGAGTCCTTTACATGGATCTTTCAGAAGATATAACATTTTTTGCAAATGTATCAGAGTAAAACAATTACTGTCTGTAAATGACAAAAAAAGAAACTTAAAATGACATGGTTATAGACTTAATTACAATGCAATTTACATGGAATTCTGTTCCTTTTGCAAAACATAATATTCTAGAATAAGCATTAGAGTTATAAATAAAAGTATATAAAAAAAAGTACATCAGAATTTTGTAGACTCTTGCAGATTTTTTATGTAATCTCTGGAGCATCAATTCTAATAATATGCATATATAAATATAATATAGTTATCATTTTCTTATTTGAAAGAGCTTCCCATATACTTAAATTTATATGGGAATTATATAATTTATATTTTTGTTTTATAAAATTTTTCTTCATAAAATTTTCCTTCATAAAGAGAGAAAGGAAATCCTTGAAGCATTCCAGGTCTTATTGGAATGACCTAAAGTCAATTCTTAGTCAAGAAAACATTTCTTAAAAGTCAAAAGTCCAAAAGTCTATATATTATTATTATTATTATTATTATTATTATTATTATTATTAAACTAGAGTCCCAGTGCATGAAATTTGTGCACTGGGGGAGGGGGTGTCCCTCAGCCCAGCCTGCACCCTCTCCAATCTGGGATCCCTCTCACAATCCAGGACTGCTGGCTCTCAAGTGCTTGCCTGCCTGCTTTCCTGATTGCTCCTAATTGCTTCTGCCTGCCAGCCTGATTACCCACTAACCACTCCCCTGCCAGCCTGATTACCCCTAACTTCCCTCCCCTGAAGGCCTGGTCACCTTTAACTTCCCTCCCCTACAGGCTTTATCACCCCCAACTGCCCTCCCTTGCAGGCCTGGTTCCTTCCGACTGCCCTCTCCTGATGGCCATCTTGTGTCCACATGTAGGCAGGATCTTTGACCATATGGGGGCAGCCATCTTGTGTGTTGGAGTGATGGTCAATCTGCATATTACTCTTTTATTGGATAGGATAGAGGCTTGGTGCATGGGTGGGGGCCATCTGGTTTGCCCTGAAGGGTGTCCCAGATCAGGGTGGGGATTCCCTTGGGGTATGGGATGGCCTGGGCTAGGGGCCTGTGGTGGTTTGCATGCCAGCCACGCTGCCTGATGACCCAAGTGGAGACCCTGGTATCTGGGGTTTATTTATCTTCTACAATTGAAACTTTGTAGCCTGGAACAGAGCCAAGCCTTCTGCTTGCTCTGTGGTGACAGCCATTTTTGTTGCGATTTATTTATCTTCTATAACTGAAATTTTGTAGCCTTAAGCAGAGGCCAAGGCAGGCCAGGGCTACAGAAGCTTGGCTTCCTCCATCACCAGAGGAAACCCTAGCCTCCTGCTCTCTCCAGCTCCATGGCTGCCGCCATTTTTGTTGTGATTTATTTATCTTCTATTATTGAAACTTTGTAGCATTGAATAGAGGCCTGAGCCAGCAAGGGAAGGCAAAAAGCTTGGCTCCCTCCATTGCCAGGGAAACTCAAGCCTCCCGCCTGTTCTCAGCCTTCTTGGTTGGGTTTATTTGCATATTCACTCCTGATTGGCTGGTGGGTTTGGCTGATGGGTGTTGCTTGTGGGTATAGCAGAGGTATGGTCAATT